GTCCCGCCCACAGCCCCGCCCCAACCCGCTTCCCTCCCTCTCCAGCCCCTCCCCCGACAGTGAGCCCCATCCACGGCCCTGTCCCAACCTGCCTCTCCAGCCCCTCCCCTGACTGAGTCCCGCCCACGGCCCCGCCCCAAGCCAGAGCACCGCCCTTTTCATCCCTTCCCCTGACAGGGGGCGGGGGCCTCCACCTCCAGCCCTACGTCACTGTCCAGGTCCCGCCCCCCACTCCCTCGCTAGTGGTTAGGCCCCAGCCCATGTCCCCCAAGCCCCCCACCAGTGCAGGTCCTGAACCCTGGCCAAGGCCCATACCACTGCCCCTTCCGGCCCCTCCTCTCCTTCCAACTGCCCTAGACCATTCCCTTCTTGCCCCTCGCCACTACCCAGGTCCTGGTTCTCCTGGCTTCACATCACTGCCCAGGAACTGGTCCCCCAGTCCCCCAGCACTGCCTAGGCCCTACCATCTGCATGGTTCCCTTCTCCAGTTCTGGCCCAGCCCTCCCAGGTGGGCCAGACAACCGGTGACCGGCACAGCCTTCCACAAGCTGGGCCTGACCACTTGGCCTGCTGACTGAGTCACTGCCATGCAACTAGACCCACTCTGTCCCCCTCCCTCCCCAGAGGTCAGGCTTTAACCGAGCGAGATGGGTCTTCCTGGCAGGGCCCGGCTCAACCAGTCACCTCATTCCTGTAAATCATCAGGCGTGGTCTGGGGTCCCTGCCCAAGGAACACCACCACCCCAGTCACCTGGGGAACTCCGTGGGTTTAGAGGTTATGCAGAGTCCTGGGGAACTGCTCACCAAAAGGTTGGGGGTTCGAGATCACCCAGAGGTACCTTGGAACAGAGGCCTGGCCACCTCCTTCTAAAAACCCAGCCACCGCAGCCCTGTGGCCTGCAGTTATACTTTGATGGGGGGGACACGACACGGGATGGGACGCGGGGCGGGGCGCCGTGTGTCCGGATCCACTCAGCAGCTGTGGAGTGTTACAGCTGGGATGGCCGGGGCCGCCCTGACCTGTTCCGTCCACACAGACCCCCGCGGCCTCGTCGGCTTCCTCCCGCTGTGGGCCTTGCTCTCTCGCTCTGTTGGATTGGGGAGGGCCGGAAAATGAGGTGGGAACAGGCAGGACGTGACCTAAGCCCTCCCTGGTCGCCAGCAGTGGGGCGCCCCCCAGCTCCCGTGGCCCCAGCCGTGCCCCGCCTGGTCCCCACAGGTATGTGCAGCACCAGCATTGGCAACTTCGAGGAGGCCAGGACGAGCTACGGCACGGATGAGGACATTCTCTTTGTCTACCTGGACAGCTGACAGTGGGGCCCCTGCAAGAGCCCTGGCCCGGCCTGCTGGGCTGGGAGGCGAGCTGCAGCCCGGCCTTGCAGGCTGCGTGCGGCTGTCGCCTGCCAGGGCTGGTCCCAAGGGCAGCCCCCCCAGGGTGCCCAGCGGGAGGCCTCAGGAGTCCTGTTGCCTATGAGTGCAGCCTCCAGGTGAGGGCGAGGCCCGTGTACGCTTCCCCACGGACTTCCACTCGCGAAGCCACCCACCTGAGGCTGCCTGTCCGTAAAGCACCCAGGTGTGGGAGACGCCATAGCCCACCTCAGGCCTCCGAGGGCTGTCCCCGCACCGTCCTCGCACCTTGCTGTCTGAGAAGGGCTGCAGAGCCCCCCACGCCCCTAGGGGCACGCTGCAGACACCTCCCACCCCAGTGGGCCCAACTCTCTGCCACTCACAAGCCCTCAGGCCCTGCCACCTGGCATAGCCACGTGTCACATCACTGCCCCTCAGAGCCCCAGCCCCTGGGGAGAGCCCAGACCTCAGGCAGTGGGGCTCCAGGGCCCAGCCTACTGCCGGACACCAGCTCTGGACCCGCAGGCCGCGGTGGGCCCGTCCCACTGGGAGGCCTGATGACCACTAGCCTGGACCGTGGCTGTAAAGAGCCCCTTGACACTCTCCAAGGCCCCGACAGCCAGGCCCACCCTCAGAGCGCTGGCGCCCCGAGTCTCCAGGCTGGCAATGGCCTTTGGTCCCCAAGCTTTTCACCCCAGGACCGTTGCACAGAATAGGGGGGCCCGTCTGTCTTGGCAGAGGGTGCCACCTGTCCAGGATTACAGCCCAGTGAACCGGGCAGGCTGCAGCTCTCTCTTGCGTTTGAGGTTTCACTTCTGGGGGTGAGGGTCACCTTCATTTCTGACAATAATCATGAGCTCACAGGTACTTGAGAACCACTAACACCTCGTCAAGGCGGCCTGCTCAGCCAGCGGCCACGTAGCCCTCAGAGCTCGGCCCTCTCCTGAGACAAGCCCGGCCACTGAGGACAGCGGGGCCTTGAGTCCAGGGCCACCCTCAGGAGCTGGACACCCACGCCTCGGGCCACCATGTGCACCTGCGTCCTGGTTTGCAGTGTCCGAGGCACAAGGCGGTGGCACCTGCTGTCCCTTGTCCCAGGACTGTCACCCCCCATCGCTCCTTCACACCCAGGTGGCCTCTGGCCAGTGCCCAGTGTCGCCAGGCATGGTCACCGTGACTTCAGGAACTGTGGGCTCCAGATGGGTCCTGTGTTCGTTGCCTTAATGCCGGTGGTCCGTGGACCTGTACTCCTGAGTCCCTGTGGGGAAGCTGTGTGGCCGGGTCGTCCCGGGAGGGCTGTGGCTCAGCAGTCGGACCACCGTCAGGGGGCCGATGACAGGAAAGGAAGCTTCCGGAGGCCAAGTGATGGAGGGTGGCACAGAGGCCATGTGGACCACAGCACAGCTCATCACACGACACCATGTCTCCTTCCTGGGCTTGGAAGGGGGCTCTCGGAATGAGCCCCACGTTGGAGGTGGCCAGCCCCGAGCTGTCCAGTTTGTCCAGAGGGGGCTTGGAGGCAGAAGGCAAACCCACCGTGGTGCCTCCTCGCACAGAACGAGACGTTGGGTCTGAGAAGGAGTCGGACATCAGGGACTTGGGGTCCAGCTCTGGCCACAGGGAGCAGAAGGGATATTTTGAGTCACAGAGGTTTTATACATAAATATATTTTGTTGGTAATGATCTATTCTCAATAAACGCTTATCACTGCAGAGTGGCTGTAGCCCTGGCCCCCTGTGCAGCTGTGCCTGTCTGCAGAACCGTCTTCACCCCCAGTCCTCGTCATGCCTCGTGGCAAGTCCCCGCGGCCTCACAGCTGGCCGTCCCTGGTGCTGGCAGAACCAGCTTTCCCTGGCCCAGGCCAGTGGCAGTGGTGCAGGGAGACCCTGGTGGGCCTTGTGGCCATGGCTGCTTACAAGGTATGGCCCTGGGCAGAGGGGGTGGGAAGCCCTGCAACCCCTGCCCCTTACCAGCAGCTCTCTGATGGGGGGCTCCTCTCGGCATTTTACCCAGGAAAACTCCCACCTCTGTTAAAAGGGCGTGTGTGTGTGGGGTGCTGGGTGATCCAACAGCCCCTGGTGGGGCTTCAGCTGGCTTCTCGGGGGGTCTGCGCTCACACCATGGAGGTGGACAGTGGAATCTGTGAGAACTGGAACTCAAAAGGATTCCAAGTTGCTGCCTCTGACAGCGTGCAGTCTGCCCACTTTTTTTCCTTTTTAATTGTGATTTGGGTGAAAATTTACAGAGCAAATTCACTTTCCATACAGCAGTTCACATACACTTTGTCTCATGACACTGACCATGATTTACCCCAATGCAACAGCTCCCCTCGCACTTTGTCCCGATAGTTACCTCTTCCCTGTGTCCATCCCTCCATGCCCTCCTGCCCCGTGAGCTGTCTCCCTGTGCATAAGCAGCCCTTTTTTCTCTCATGACTGTTCTCTCCAAGGAATGTATCTACCTGAGGTAAATGTTCCACTCACATGCCTGTCTTCTGCTTGGCTGGAAGCCACAGGTGTGGGTTCCATTCCAGACCTGAAGGGCAGCTAGGGGCCATAGTCTCAGTGGTTCCACCAGGCTCTATCGGACCAGCAAATCTGGCCTCCGCTCCTTTTTATTTCCTCCAAATGATTTTGAGTTTTGTTCCACATTGTTCTCCCTCTCCATCCAGGATCTCCTACATAGATCCCCCTCCGAGTGGCTGACAGTGGTAGCCGGGCACCATCTAATTCTTCTTGTCTCATAGTCGTATAGGCTGCAGATCGGATGGTGTGATTTGGCTGAAAGTTTTCAGAGCAAACTGGTCTCCCATTCAACAGTTCACACACATTTTGTCCGCTGACACTGACTTCAATCCCCTCCATGTAGGAGCTCTCTTTCCACTTCCCTGTGTTTCTGGTTCCCTTCATCCTTCTTTCCCGTCCCTTCCTGCTTTCTGAGCTCCCTGGGCACATGCTGCCCTTTGGATCCCATGGGGTTGGCTGTTCTAAGGGGTCCATACCTCCCTGGGTTCACCTTACAGGCCTGTCGTTTGATGGAAAGCAAGTTCACTTCTGGGCCTGGAGGGTGATTAAGGGCCGTGGTCTCGGGGTTCCATCAATCTATCAGACCAGTCAGCCTGGTCTTTTTTATGATTTTGGGTTTTGTGCCATATTCTTCTCCCACTTTGTCTGGGACCTCCTCTTGTGATCCCGTTCAGAGTGGTCAACAGTGGTAGCAGGGCACCATCTAGTTCTTCTGGTCTCAGGGTCATGGAGGCGAGGGTTTCAGTGGTCTGCTAGTCCTTTGAACTAACTGTTTCCATAATTCTTTGATTTCCCTCAGCTTTTTTTTTTTTTTGTAATTTTTATTGTGATATTGGTGAAAGTTGACAGAGGAAATAGAGCAAATTCATTTTCCACACAGCAGTTCACACCCATTGTGTTTCACGACATTGACTGCCATTCCCCACAATGCAACAGCTCTCTTCCCACTTCCTCCCTGTGGTTACCTCTTCCTTGTGTCATTCTTTCCCATGCACTCCTGCCCTGAGCTGTCTCCCTGTGCAAACACTGCCCTTCGTTCTCCCACAAATGATGGCTCCTACCACGATTGATCACAATGTTCACCCCATATGCCTGTCTGTTGTTTGGCTGGAAGCCATGGGAGTGAGTTCAGTTCCAGTCCTGAAGGGTAACCAGGGGCCATAGTCTCAGGGGTCTCACCAGACTCTATCAGACCAGTAAAGCTAGTCTTTTGTATGCTTTTCAGTTTTGTTCCACGTTGTTCTCAGCTCCATTTTTAAGGCCCTTCAGCTGACTGAGTATGTCTACCTAGATGATCTAGGAAAATCTCCCTTCCTTTAAGTCAACTGCTTGTGGATTTGAGTCACAACCACCAAATACCTTCAAAGCAGCACCTAGGTTAGTGTCTTAGGCTGGGTTCTCTACAGAAGCAAACCAGTGAAGCTGTGTATATATGTAGCTTTATCTCAAGGAAGTGGCTGATGCGGCTGTGGATGGTGGCAAGTCCCAAGTCCATGGGTCAGACCTCAGGCTGGAGGCTTTTCCTGACTTGTAGCTAAAGAGGCTGATGAACCCAAGATCAGCAGGCAAGATAGCAGGCTGTTGGCTGTCAGGGCTGATGAATCCCAGATTGGCAGGCTGCTGGGTTAAGTCCCAAGAACTGGAGGTCAGATGATGACGAGACAGACAAGATGCAGAGCAAGCAAAAAAAAAAAAAAAAAGCCAGTTAGCTTTTCCAGAACGTTCATATAGGATGCAGGCCATACCCTTGAGGAACCGCCCTTACCGTTGACCTTACAGTTGACGGGCTTCTCACATCATGGAGGTGTTTACATTGTATCAAACATGGAGGATGGTTTTTAGATAACTGCCGAACCAGCAAGAACCATGACCCGGCCGAGCTGGCACCTAACCGTAACCATCACAGTTAGGGTCTGAAGGACGGGGGCAGCAGCCAAGCCAGGCTGACACGGGAAGACTGGAAGTCTGGCAGCTCAGGGACTGGACCAGCCTCGCCCTGTCTCTGCTTGGGTGCAGAGCCCTGGTTGGCCCTTGGGGAGCCAACAAGGAACTACCTCAGCCTGGAGCTGACCTGGTAATCACCAGCCATCTGACAAAACAGAGCCTTGCTACTTTTTTCCAATTATAGTGAAAACTGTGTAACATAAAAGGACTATTTTAAAGCGTAACTTTCAGCAGCACTGAGTGCATTCACGATGCTGTCTAAGCAGCACGTCTATCTTATTCTAGAACATTCCATCACCCCAAAATAAACGCCCCCCACAGAGCAGCTGTTCCCCAGGCCCCTCCCCCAACCCGGGCAGTTTGAACCCAGCTGGACAGTGACGTTTTTAGGGAGAACTTGGACCCTTAAGCTCATCTCACTTGCTAACCTGCTGGGAGCCAACAGGCGGGCTTGGGTTGAAAGTCAGAACTCTTGGATGATGTTGGGGCTGTAGTTGGGCTTGGCGGCCTCTGCGAGCTCCCGGGCGTACATCTCGTATCTGCCGGTCATCTGAAAGCAAAACACAGCACTTCAGTGGGTCGCTAGGTAGCCAAACGGTTAAGCATTCAGCTACTAACTGGATAGCTGGAGGTTCAAGTCAACCAGAGCCCTCAGAAGACAGGCTTGGTGATCTCCTTCCCAAAATCATGCCCTACGGAGCCCAGTCCTACCCTGACACGTGGGTTTGCTGGGAGTCGGGTCAACTCCACAGCCCCCGGTTTGGTCGATTTAGAAACACGTGCTCAGCGATTCACTACCACCGCCTGCCACTAGAGGGCAGCAGGGGGACAGAAAGTCATCAGGAGGCAGGTGGACAGGATGCTTGAGAGGAAAGCTCCGTGTCACCTCTCCAGCTGGTTCCAGAGCTGTGGTCAGGAAGACTCACCCACCCCACCACTCCCACCGTGGCCAAGGATGCCATCTCTGCACACCACCCATCCAGGAGGAGTGTGGTCTGTGCCCGAGCAGACCCCCAGCAGAGTGGGCAGTAACCTGCTCTGGGTCACCAGGCAGCAGAGTGGGAGTTGGAGCCCCCAAAACACACACACACACACACACACACAAACCCAGTGCCCTGGAGTCCATTCTGACTCACAGCGCCCCTAGAGGAGAGAGTGAAACTGCCCACAGGGTCTCCGAGGCTGTCAATCTTCACAGAAGCAAAGCCTAAACCACACCCACTGCCCTGGAGTCCATTCTGACCCACAGCGCCCCTAGAGGACAGAGTGGAACTGCCCCCAGGGTCTCCAAGGCTGTCAGTCTTCACAGAAGCAAAGCCCAAA